CTTTACCAAAAGAACCATAGAATATATCTTCTAATCTCAACTCCCAGTTCGTTGCAGATAATAACGGGCGGTTGTTTTGTTGTTGTTGTTGGTTGTTGATGTTCGCAAAAGAACACCGTAGATATTTTTTTTGTTTCTTGACTGTCAATTTGCACGACTATTTAGATTCGGGATGTTTGATTATTATATCGTCCGCAGCAGAGTCCCATGTGACCCCCCCCCGTGCACCCCCACCCTCGCTCCCCCCTCGCTCCCTCCCTCGCTCCCCCCATGTGCCCCCCGCCCTCTCCCCCCGTGCACTCCCACCCTCGCCCCACGCACCCCCCCATGAGAGAGAGAGACAAACTCCAAATATACAGCAAGCGTCAGGGTTGGGATGGAACCCACGACCTCCTGCATATCAGGCGAGGAAGTTAACATCTCCAAGCCAAGTTCAAGTCACAATAGAAATCCGCCAAGTCAACATGGTGATAACAGAAAATGAATCGTTTATTTAGACTGCGGGAGGAATCCGATGAGCTATGAAGCTCTTTTTCACAGACGTCCAGTACGTCGTTCAACCACAAAAAAATAGAAACTAATTACGAATCATAACATTGGTTGCTAACATCTACCTACACGATCTAATGGCAAATTCATGCGCGTCTTATTTTACCCCAAATTATTTTCATTCCCCAGTTCAATCAGTATCACCGAGGTGAAGCGTCCAATCACAGACCTCGCAAAACCAGTGCTAAGAGACTGGCCCCGGGGAGAAGCGGATGCTATAGCTCTACTTCCAAGATCCCTTCAAGTAATGTACATATGTATATATATCGATGCACACACGAGGGAACACGTGTTCCCACACACTGCGCGTGACGTGGGTGTGTGTTCGTCGCATTGCGGTGAAAGATGCTCCCCATCTTCATGCTCCATTAGAATCGATATTGATTGACAAACCTGTGCATCTTCTGTGGTTCTTTCGGTAAAGTCAACGTAGAATGAGAATAAAATAATAAAACAATAAAACAATAAAATTCTCACGACGTTTCGGCCACAACACAAGCGGCCGAAACGTCGTGAGAATTTTATTGTTTTATTATTTTATTCTCATTCTACGTGACTTTACCGAAAGAACCAAAGAAGATGAATCCTTGCAGTCACGAAAGCTTTAAATCGGAATCTGTGCATCGTTTCACCCCTTTTGAAAAGGCCTCTTTGGCCAGAGCCAAGCTACAGCGATCTGGTTCGATATGAAGTGACACTTGTCCCGTGTTTGGCATGCGATATTATTCAAAAGTCAACACATGCCTCACGGGCCGAATGTCACGATCAACACGTCTGTCGTGACTCACACGAGTGACTCAGCGGGGTAGATACTAGAACGCCAAAGCCAGCTGTGATTAAACCACGCGCTCATTTAAACCAACGCATTTTTTTATTCTGATAGCCAAATTGAGACCACATTTTAACGACTTTTTGTTTTGACTTTAAGCTGTCGTGACTGCAGAGATTCATATTCTTGGTTCTTTCGGTAAAGTCACGTAGAAGGGAAACAATAAAATGATAGCCAAATTGAGACCACATTTTAACGACTTTTTGTTTTGATTTTAAGCTTTCGTGACTGCAGGGATTCATATTCTTGGTTCTTTCGGTAACGTCACGTAGAAGGGAAACAATAAAATAATGAAAATATAAAACAATACAATTCTCACGACGTTTCGACTGCAACACATGCAATCATCACTTTTTTCAAAATTTCTTGCTGTGGGTTTCACACCTGATGATGATTGCTTGTGTTGCAGTCGAAACGTCGTGAGAATTGTATTGTTTTATATTTTTATTATTTTATTGTTTCCCTTCTACTTGACTTTTTTGTTGGTTTGGTGTTGCTGTGTGCGCTGTCATTGGTGAACGGGCAGTGCTCGTCAAGTTTCAAGTTTGTTTTTGTTTCACCCAGGCGGTGATGAACCCACTAGACCAGGTTCGAGTCTCATTCGCAAGAGTGACCTTAGCCCACGTAAACATTGACAACCCACCTTGCGTTTATGATGCCCGCGTGATGAAACAAAACGCGCGCCTTCAAATGCGCTTCTGCGGCCGTCTGGAACGATCTTCAGATATTAGGAAGCCACTAGGAGCCATGCACTTTTAAACCCTCCAGATTGACAAACTCGTTTCTTTATAACTGCTTTTTTTGTTTTGATTTAAAGCTTTCGTGACTGCAGTAATTCATATTCTTAGCTCTTTCGGTAAAGTCACGTTGAAGGGGAACAATAAAATAATAAAATATATCATTATTAAAATATATTGTTAAAATATATTATTATTTTATTGTTTCCCTTCAACGTGACTTTACCGAAAGAGCTAAGAATATGGCTTTTTTGTGTTTCGTTTGTTGTCCTTCCCCCCCCGCACCGCCGATGAGCACGGTTTGGCTACGTACGGCGTGAGTGAAAGAAGTTCAACATATCGCACATACCATGCAAGGTGGAGCAATGGTGCACGCTGCGCTATAAACATGACCACACGAGTTTTGATTCCTGGCCACGGCTAACATCAGTGGCGAGTGGTAAACGCTCCTGATCTCTCCCCCCCCCCCACCGCCACACTTCACCACCCGACTTTGACCAGCATGGTGAATAAAAGGTTTTTCCCCTTTTTTCTGGCAAAAAAAACTGAAACCTTTGTTTTTAAAGGATTCATGTTTACTGCATTAACCACAATACCTGCAGTCAGAATGCAAACAAAAAAACATACTAAGATAATATATGATGCATTGTCCTTGAAACTGATTGGTCCACACCAAGGGACGGATTTCTTTCTCCAACCGGTCTCCCCGTACTAAAGTATCAAATAACCAGAGGAGCTTCTAACGAAAGTGCATTGGGTTACGCCTGTTCGTGCAAATACAACTACACAAGACAGTTAGGGGGTTTGTATAGTTTTATGCAACTACACGAGACAAACTCTTTGCTTCTTTCGGTAAAGTCACGTAGGTAGAAAAAATAATAGATCACGACATTTCGATCGCAACACAAGCAACCGTGAACAAACACAGCATGAGGACTGCTGACGTAGGAGCTACACAAGACAGTTAGGGGGTTTATATATTTGTATGCAACTATGCTGACACACACACACGCTGACACACACACACGGTAGAGCGAACAATGTTTATCCAAGTAACGTTGAACGTTGGGCCGACGTTGCTCCAACGGTTACAACCACACGCCAACGTTGGCTCAACGAGTATGGATTCCTGCAGTCACGAAAGCTTCAAATCAAGGCAGTTGATGATTTAAGCCAATTCGATGAGCCATCATCGTGTGGGGCCGGATCGCCTCTGAAAAAGAGCTCACAGCTCAGTGGGCTTTACCTGGTGAAGAACATGAGTGTTCATACACGTGGCAGGAACGCGTCGCTTCCGGAGGGAGTTTCACGCGTGCGAGGGGGCAACACGCTATCCTATACGGACGCAAAAGGTGGGGGAGACATTTCTGCTGCACCGCCGTCTCCTGGCGAAGCAGGGGTACGGCGCCTCCTCAACGCCCACGGGAATGGAGTTTCCTCCCATCTGTGTGTGATCCACCAACCTTCGGTGCCGCTGCTACCCCCACAGTGCTGGACCACGGTCCGGTTAAAGAAAAAAATTATATTACGGTATTGGTTATGTGTGTGTGTGTTTTTTTTATAATTAATATTAATCAAAACTGGTAATGCTTCAAAGGTCTGGTTTTAAATCATGGGTGGCTGGAACCCCTGGGGTTGTATTCAAGGCTTAGTAGGTGATGGTGCCAGCCAGGTCAAATATATAATAGGCGACGTTTCGGGCAATGGCTCTTGTTCACAGCACATTGAAGCAGAGGATACAGAGTGGATAATTATAATAAGAGTTAATAATAAATTACATTTATAAATCGTCCACAGGGCGGTTGGGTTGGAGACTGCATATTCGACACGAGGAGGCTTGATAAACACACATTATGATAACTTTTTTTAAATGGCATATGAAAAGTTACCCAATACGTCGTAGCTATAGAGTACAGTAATAGGTACGCCCTTCATGAATATATAAATATACCACGAAATAAACTAGAAGCCTGGTTCAACATATCATTTTGTTGTGGTGGTGGTGCTGCTGCGAATGCGCACGATCACAATTAACGACAACAGCCCAGAAAGGCACTCGTCAATAATACTGCTTCTAAATAAATAAATAAAACATGTATAGTAATAGGCGACGTTTCGGGCAATGGCCCTTCTTAACAGCACATCGAGAGAGGTCAGCCTACCTCTCTGGCCTCCGTCTCAATGAAAAAAGGTTGATTGCCCGGAAGGTCTAAACAAATGTGTTTTAAGGTCACGGCGTTACTGTCGTATGCGTCAAGTTGTGTTTGACTTGCTTGGTACCGATGTCATCCATCCCATCAATCCAGCAGCAGCAGCAGCTGCTGGCACACTCACTGTCTCACCAGCGTGAAGCGCGTGTCGAGGGTGGCGGTCATCATGTCGATGGCCAGGTTCACGACGAGCAAACATGCTGGTCACCGACTGCATCCTCTTGTTCATGAACACCACGTGGCACACACGCTACACCACCGCGTACCCACCATAGATCCCCCGTATAGCCTTAGCAGACTGTAGGGGCAAGTGCTGTTAGCGAGCACTTATGAAGGTGCCAAACGGTACACGAGGGGATGGGTGGCTATCACCACGCCCGACCGCCTTTGTCTCCCTAGTGGCAATGATTACACACCGCACCAGGTACTCATTTGAGGCCGAGTCGACCTAGGTGAGGCCCGGGACCGGTTCAGACAATCGTCACCACTGAGTGTTGGCCGTGAGCGGGAATCGAACTCGTGTCGCCGGGTTCATAGCGCAGCGCGCTAACCGCTACACTATCGCTCCCACCCCCCACCCCAAACACACAGACGCCATCGACTCAGCTGACGCACGAGAGTGCACGAACGACGCATCCGCAAGCCGCGTGCACGCGCGTTGCTCGCCTCTCTCACCAGCGTGAAGGGCGTGTTGAGGGTGGTGATCATGATGTCGGCGATGGCCAAGTTCACGATGAACATGCTGGTCGCCGACTGCATCCGCTTGTTCTTGATCACCACGTGGCACACGAGCGCGTTGCCGAACAGCGAGATGACGATGATCACCGAGTAGGCGACGATGAGCAGCGATTGAACCGTGAAGTTTTGCGCTTCGGCTCCGTGGCGCAGCGATCCGGTCATGTTGTCGAAGGAGAACACGAGCGTGCTGTTCACGAAGGCTCGAGACGACTCGTTGAACATCGTCATGCCGAGGTCGAGTGGTGACTTGGCGCTTCTGTTAGCGCGCGCAGTCGTGAGGTCGACCCTCTGCAGCATCTTGAGAAAGTACGGGAAGATGTTCCGCATGTACTCGGCCATCGTCGATCTGATGATGCTGCTGCTGCTGCTACTGCTGCTGATGATGTTGTGTTGAATATAAGCGCGCGTGCGTTTTTTTTGGTGTGCGCGCGTTTGTAGCTCGTCGCGAATGGGTTATGTGCGGGGTTGTTTTGTATTGATGTGCGCGTGTGTGATGTGTACAGCACTTGCTCGCGAACGGCACTTGCCCCAACAGTTTGTTACGGCTGTACGGGGGATATTTGTCTTTGGTGTCCGCAGGTTGTAGCTAATGCGGCATGCACTGGGCTGTGTGTGTTGGTGTATGTAGCTTCTGTAATGCAATATATACGGTGTGTATATGCCGGTGCGAGTGTGTGTGTCTGTGCAGTTTGCAGCCAATGCGATATGTACGAGTGTGTTTGTATGTTTGCGTGTGCATCCGTGTTGGGCTGTTGTTGTGTGTCTATTTTGTGTTTTAGTGCGTGTGTTGGAGTGGTGGTGTGTGATTGGATTGGGGTGTGTGTGCTGTGTGTGCAAAACAACGTAATGTCCTTATTCGAAAGCCTCCAGATTTACAAATGTATTTTGTAAAATTATGCTTTTTATAATTATAGCGATTACACATTCGTCTATGAAAGCTAATTTCTCGAGTAAGAATTTCATTATGATAATTACAGAACCATATAATTCACAATATCCAATATATTTTCAGTGAAAGTAGAAATTCTACTTTATATTTTCTGCACACGGCCTAATTGTTGGTAATCTGTTTCGCGATATAAGTAACCAAACCGTGTATATGTTACACAGCATTACAAAACACTGCCATTTACACTTATTCCCGCCAGCAAGCCTACACTGCGAACGGGCAGTAAAAAGACGCTGCTGCTGATGACTATTCAGCCGCTGCTGCTGATGAAGGTTATTATTTTTCAACTCTAAAGCACTCCGTAACAGGCCATTTAAACGGAGCCCCTGGCCGTTATAACGCTGCTCTAGGATAGACTGACAAGCGTGAGTGGAGGCTAGGGGAGCATTTGCCGTGACATTTAAATACAAGAGATTCTGGCTGGGGGGCGGAAATGCACAGGAATAAGCACGAGGAGGAGGAGGGGGGGGGGGCTCTTGGAGCAGCTCAGCATGTCATTGGACAGAGAGCAGCATGAGCAGCAGCAGCAGCCAGTGTACCCAAACATCGGCACCCACACAACGCGTCCGATCTCTCCGTCCTTCCTCACCGCATCTTTCGCCAGGGTGTCATCCTGCCCCGTTACTTAACGCGGCGGTCGGTGGCTTTGTGCGACGTGTTTGTCGTCTCTGTCTCTCTCTCTTTTTTTTACTTTATTTTCTCCTTAAAATTTGTTTTAATTTCTTATGTTTCTATATTTGTTTCACGTTTTTCTTTCCTCTTCTTTATGATTCACTTCTCTGTCCCGCTGCATGTTTGCTCTCCGTGCGGCTTTTATCTCGAACGTTCGCGCTCGTAGCGCAGCGCAACACAGCGCCGTGTTGCCGTTTGTTCGGTCTCGCTGATGTTTTCGGGGATTTTGTCTTTGTCGTTGTTGCTGCTGCTGCTGTTGTTGTTGCTGGTCCTGCAATAGACTGCAGGCTTGTCTCTCTGTGTGTGTGTGTGCGCGTGTACAATAAACGCAGTGTGTACGTTGAACTTCTTCTTTGGTTCTTTCGGTAATGTCACGTAGAATGAGAATAAAATAATAAATTGATAAAATAAAATAACACAATAATATTATCACGACGTTTCGGCCACAACACAAGCGGCCTTCATCAGACAGTCTCGTCCCTTCACCTGATGAAGGCCGCTTGTGTTGTGGCCGAAACGTCGTGAGAATATTATTGTGTTATTTTATTTTATCAATTTATTATTTGATTCTCATTCTACGTGACTTTACCGAAAGAACCAAAGAAGATGAATCCTTGCAGTCACGAAAGCTTTAAATCGAAATACGTTGAACTTCCTTCGCACCGCGCATAGCCAAACGCGCTGATCGGAAGGTTCGGGGGCAGGACAACAGAGCTAAACACAGCGTGGCTGACACCGGAATTCGTCTCCCATCGGCTGATAGGTCTTGCGTTGTGGGGTAAAGTGTGGGTAACTCCCGCCTCTTCCAAGACGTCTGGCTCGCTTGGACGCGTAAGGCCAAACACCATCGATAGGGGACGCCCTTCCGCCAGAGAGGACGTGAGCGCGGTGTTGCAGCGCTGCTCCGGTGGTTTATCGCGGCACTTGAGCAAATATGCGTATTGTGATATCAGTGGGCCATTGATCATAAGCGTGAGTTTTTGTTTACAGATTGGCTCTTCTTAAGGCTTCTAGAGGGTACGACTGCGGGAATTAATCGATCTTCTAGCGCTCTACGTATCGTTTTAGGGTATTCAGATCCTTTGCAATCCACTGCTGGATGGATGCCATCATCCACACGCTGTACGAGTCGGCGACCGCTGGATTGAGAGTCGCATCATTATATCATTGAGGGTTTTTTTTATCGCTCTAAATTTCCACGTGATGATGATGAGAAGCCACTTGGTTGAGCTACCTGCTGTGGCCAGGTTGCTTGTGAAAAAGAAGCTCATAGCTCAGTGGGCCTTACCTGGCAAGATGAAATAGATATTCTTAGTTTTTTCGGTAAAGTCACGTTGAAGAGAAACAACAAAATAATAACAACAAATAATATATATTTTATTATTTTGTTGTTTCTCTTCAACGTGACTTTACCGAAAAAACTAAGAATATGAATTACTGCAGTCACGAAAGCTTTAAATCAAAATTTAAGATGAAATAGAGTTTAGTTATATTTGTTTACAAGTATATTTGTATATAACTAAATGCAGACATGATTCTTTGCAAAAGGTTTCAGTTCGGTGTTTTAACATCTTAACACAACTGTTTTATTGCCCGAAACGGTAAAAACGAATCTTATATTGGCCATGGTTGTTTATATCGATATATTAAGATACTGGTCAAGTTCAGGAGCGTTTATCACTCGCCACTGATGATAGCCGTGGCCAGGAATCAAACTCGTGTCAGTCAGCTTTATTGTGCAGCACACACCATTGCTCCACCTAAAATTATATATATGTTGAACTTCTTTCGCACCGTACGTAGCCACCCGTGCTAATCGGAAGTGCGGGGGAGGGACAACAAACTACACACAAGAAGCAACTCTTAAGAAATCAGTTTTGAATCTTGAAATTAGTTTTTAATCTTGCATAGCTTCCACTGGCTTCCGAATATCGGAAGGGAGAGCGTTCCAGACGGCCGCAGAAGCGCATCTGAAAGCGCCACGCGATGCGGTGACCACCGTCTGTGTTCTATGGCTGATATCTTTAATCTGGTCATCCGCCAAAACCTAGAGTCCTAGATCAGGGGTCACCAACCCTTAGAAACCGGGCCGCACAGCAGCAGGTGAGCTGTGAGTCCGCGCGTGGCCCGCCCGTTACAGTATTTCATTTACCACTTGTCTCAGTCACGTGGTGTTGGTAAGCCCACACGCCAACCGTAGTTGCCAAAATGAGTAAGCCCACAAGCTCTAACCCCTAGTAGCCCCAATGAGTAAGCCCACAAGCTCTAACCCCTAGTAGCCACAATGAGTAAGCCCACAAGCTCTAACCCCTAGTAGCCACAATGAGTAAGCCCACAAGCTCTAACCCCTAGTAGCCACAATGAGTAAGCCCACAAGCTAACCCCTAGTAGCCACAATGAGTAAGCCCACAAGCTAACCTCTAGTAGCCACAATGAGTAAGCCCACAAGCTAACCCCTAGTAGCCACAAGGAGTAAGCCCACAAGCTCTAACCCCTAGTAGCCACAATGAGTAAGCCCACAAGCTCTAACCCCTAGTAGCCACAATGAGTAAGCCCACAAGCTCTAACCCCTAGTAGCCACAATGAGTAAGCCCACAAGCTCTAACCCCTAGTAGCCACAATGAGTAAGCCCACAAGCTCTAACCCCTAGTAGCCACAATGAGTAAGCCCACAAGCTAACCTCTAGTAGCCACAATGAGTAAGCCCACAAGCTAACCCCTAGTAGCCACAAGGAGTAAGCCCACAAGCTCTAACCCCTAGTAGCCACAATGAGTAAGCCCACAAGCTCTAACCCCTAGTAGCCACAATGAGTAAGCCCACAAGCTCTAACCCCTAGTAGCCACAATGAGTAAGCCCACAAGCTCTAACCCCTAGTAGCCACAATGAGTAAGCCCACAAGCTCTAACCCCTAGTAGCCACAATGAGTAAGCCCACAAGCTCTAACCCCTAGTAGCCACAATGAGTAAGCCCACAAGCTAACCCCTAGTAGCCACAATGAGTAAGCCCACAAGCTAACCTCTAGTAGCCACAATGAGTAAGCCCACAAGCTAACCCCTAGTAGCCACAAGGAGTAAGCCCACAAGCTCTAACCCCTAGTAGCCACAATGAGTAAGCCCACAAGCTCTAACCCCTAGTAGCCACAATGAGTAAGCCCACAAGCTCTAACCCCTAGTAGCCACAATGAGTAAGCCCACAAGCTCTAACCCCTAGTAGCCACAATGAGTAAGCCCACAAGCTCTAACCCCTAGTAGCCACAATGAGTAAGCCCACAAGCTAACCCCTAGTAGCCACAATGAGTAAGCCCACAAGCTAACCTCTAGTAGCCACAATGAGTAAGCCCACAAGCTAACCCCTAGTAGCCACAAGGAGTAAGCCCACAAGCTCTAACCCCTAGTAGCCACAATGAGTAAGCCCACAAGCTCTAACCCCTAGTAGCCACAATGAGTAAGCCCACAAGCTCTAACCCCTAGTAGCCACAATGAGTAAGCCCACAAGCTCTAACCCCTAGTAGCCACAATGAGTAAGCCCACAAGCTCTAACCCCTAGTAGCCACAATGAGTAAGCCCACAAGCTCTAACCCCTAGTAGCCACAATGAGTAACGAACAAACGTTGCTGGAGAGCTTCTTTGAAAAGGGGGAAAGACCCAATGATGAACCCCCACCCACTCCCCCAAGTCCGAGGAAAAATTGTCTTCGACGAAACCGGTCCCTAGATGATGGTACTAGTTGTGTTTAAGGGAACATGAAAACACACAAAAGGTGGGTCCACCCTTTTTAATTACATGCAGATCTTGAGAAATCCGGGGATGTCACGTTGTTAAGAACGGGCTTGCCCTTAAAACTAAACGATTGTTTTTATTTTAACAGGTAAGGTCCACTGAGCTATGGAGATCTATTTCAGAAGCGACCCGGCTGTTACAAATTATCAGCTCAACCAAGTGGCTTATCTTCATCGTGTGCAAATGTAGAGCGGTAGTCAACTACTATTAACGCGTGATGTTGATTTTTAAATGTGGAGGGGAAAAAAACGGAGGACCTGGAGAAAAATCCACACGACCACGGGGAGAGAGAGAGAGAGACACGCAAACTCCAAATATACAGCAGCAGGCGTCAGGGTCGGGATTGAACCCACGACCTCCTGCATACCAGGCGAGGTAGTTAACATCTCTGAGCCACCGTGATGATGATGATGAGAGAGAGACACGCAGACTACAAATATACAGCAGACGTCAGGGTCGGGATCGAACCCACGACCTCCTGCATACCAGGCGAGGTAGTTAACATCTCTGAGCCACCGTGATGATGATGATGAGAGAGAGACACGCAAACTCCAAATATACAGCAGCAGGCGTCAGGGTCGGGATCGAACCCACGACCTCCTGCATACCAGGCGAGGTAGTTAACATCTCTGAGCCACCGTGATGATGATGATGATGAGAGAGAGACACGCAGACTACAAATATACAGCAGACGTCAGGGTCTGGATCGAACCCACGACCTCCTGCATACCAGGCGAGGTAGTTAACATCTCTGAGCCACCGTGATGATGATGATGATGAGAGAGAGACACGCAGACTACAAATATACAGCAGCAGGCGTCAGGGTCTGGATCGAACCCACGACCTCCTGCATACCAGGTGAGGTAGTTAACATCTCTGAGTCACCGTGATGATGATGATGAGAGAGAGACACGCAGACTACAAATATACAGCAAACGTCAGGGTCTGGATCGAACCCACGACCTCCTGCATACCAGGCGAGGTAGTTAACATCTCTGAGCCACCGTGA